GCAAAAATCTAACTCAAACACATAACTTATCCATAACCCATAAATCAACGCATGTTCTCAATTACACAAATCAATATCGATAAGGCTATCTAACTACCACAAGCATGCAAAACACGAAATGGATTTTTTTTAAATGCACACAAATAAGAAATTAGAAACAAAACACACAAATAAAATAAAATAATAAAAAAATGTAAACAAATTAAAAAAAATGCACACAATCACACAAAATAAAAAATTAGGCAATTTTAGACAATTTATAATACACTCCCCCAAACTTAAACTACACGTTGCCCTCAATGTGAAAATGGAAGAAGGGGAAGAAAAATACCTCAGTGAAGACATCAACTGTCTTTCTCGCCATCAGATGGAGCAGGAGGGTGTGAATGAGGTGAAAACTGCGGTGGTGTGGAGAAAGTGAGCTCGGGGTAGGCAGATGCTAAGACCTCCATGCAAGTGTTCTGATACTGAAATTGGTCATAAATGGCATATTGTAGTTGGTTCATTTGCACCTGCATGCCATCCTGCCATTGGGTCATGTGCAAATCCATAGTCTCAAGACGCCGAAGAATGTCACCTGTAGTGTCAGTAGATTGTGGAGGTGGTGTAGGGGAAGATGGACGAGATGACCCAGGCACGTCCCGATGGCCTACACGCCTATCACGGATATCCCGCGTAAGTGGTTGTCTCGGGTTTAACGCTTTGTCAGTTTCCCACGTGGAAACACCCCCGTTTATGAAAAGGTCATGGATCAAAGAGGGGTGACCCAAACTGCCTGTTACCGACCCTACTAGGATGCGAAGAATGCTGTTGTGAATGACCTTGCCGAAATACCCCTCCTGAATAGCAAAATTCAATAAAGCCCGTTCCTTTATGACCTCGTTGGTGTTGCTACTGGGGATCATTTTTGCTGATATAAGTAGTGCTAAACTTTACAATTAGGTTTCAGGCCAAAGGCAGGGAAATGAGTCACATTACTAGCCGATCTTTTCCATTTAGTACCAGGGTAAGTGAGAGTGCGGATTAACACATCGGAATCGACCCTTTCATTACGTAGGCGGGAGTAGTCATCATCGGGTATCTCCCACGTGTGGGAGAACCTGTTAATGGAAGCACTGTCAAACTTAATCCAAAAACCCCGGACAAAAGCTTTGAAATTCTCATGTTCACTGGCATTGACATAAAATTCTTTCACCAAAGGAATAGATGCAACTGTTGGTTGCTTGGTAAACTTCTCCCATCCCAAACTGCATATTTTCTCAGGCAAAAAGTTTTCAAAGCCCCTTTCAGGAATACAATTCCGGTGAATGACACTTTGTTTAAATTGTTCCTCTGCTGCAGAACTGATAAAGCGTCGTCGATCAAATGAAGCGGAGGAAGAAGTTTCAGTGACCTTGGACTTCTTTTTAGGAGGCATGTGTCACTAACCCTGATGGAGGATATCGAAGTCACACTGATATTAGAGATAAGTAACTGCCAACTGACCAATGGAAGCCCAAAGTGTGCCCTCTATAAATCGTGTAGGCAACCAATCCTTTAAACCAAACCACAATTGCAAAATAGCTTACACGAAGTCATTTAGGCAAATTCACAAACACCTTGCATACACAAAAATCAACTAAGCCCAATGCAATCTCCAATGGTAGCATATCATACCCAAGCAACCTTGATTTCATTTGTTCAAAACCATCCAATCAATTGATCAAAAATAGCCCCCACAGAATCAAGAGCAGGCTACTGAAGAAAAAAGATTAACTTCGCAATTAACTCTTACCTTAAGTAGAAGATTCCATAGCTAAACAACCATAGTCAAGGGGATGATCTATGGAAACATTAAAGATGTAGAGGATTGTGCTAGGGTTATAGTAGGGGGAATTCGAGAGATAGAGAAACAATGTTTTGGGGATATGGATATAAATGAGGAGGGGAAGGCCGTGTTTTTTAAAGAAAAGGGTTTGAGCGCCGCGGCGCAAAACTGGGCGCCACGGCCAGTAGCTCTTTGTTTAATTTAATTTTTTATACCTCCAATATACTCCCTTCTCCATGTCGACTCTAGTTTTGATGTGGCCATGTTTAAGCATGACCCTACAAAATAAAAAGAAAACGAATTTACCAAACTTGCCTAAGAAGAAAAGAACATGTCTAAGTAATGAAAAGAAAATTAAGGAATATAACTTGGGTTGCCAATAAGCGCTTCTTTTACGTCTTTAGCTAGACGTAAATGTGGTGTTAAGTTGGTTCATCAAGGGTAATTTCTTCCACATCCCAGTTTTCCTCTCCATAGTAATGCTTGAGGCGTTGTCCATTTGCCTGAAAGGTAGACCCATCCATGCTTACTAACACCACTGCACCATAAGGGAACACCTTACGAATTACAAAGGGTCTCGACCATCGGGATTTGAGCTTGCCAGGAAAGAGTTTCAAGCGAGAATTGAATAAAAGAACTCGTTCTCCTGTCTTGAAATCCCTCCTTAGGATTCTCTTGTCATGCTACATTTTTGTCCATTCCTTGTATATCTTTGCATTTTCATATGCATCATTCCGAAATTCCTCCAACTTATTAAGCTGCAACAAACGTTGTGGACCAGCCAGTTTTATGTCTAAATTCAATTTCTTCACAGCCTAATAAGCTCGATGCTCCAATTCCACCCGTAGATGATAAGCTTTCCCGAATACCAGACAGTAGGGTGACATTCCAATTGGTGTTTTAAAGGATGTTTGGTATGCCCAAAGAGCGTCATCTAGTTTGAGAGACCAGTCCTTTCGATTGGTATTCACTGTCTTTTCCAAAATCTGTTTAATCTCTCTGTAAGACACCTCTGCTTGCCCATTTGACTGTGGATGATAACCAAGTGCCAACTTGTGCTTGACATCATACTTAGCTAGAAGAGAATTGAACAACTTGTTACAGAAATATGTACCTTCATCACTTACTATTGCCCTAGGCATGCCAAAACAAGTAAAGATATTTTTTTGTAGAAACCTCGAAATCACCTTTGCATCATTTGTTGGTGTAGCAATGGCTTCAACCCATTTAGATACATAGTCAACTGCAAGGAGAATGTATACCTGATAAAAAGAAGGTGGAAACGGACTCATGAAATCAATACCCCACACATCAAATAATTCCACCTCAAGCATATTAGTTAATGGTAGCTCATGATACCTTGAAATGTTTCCAGTACCTTGACAACGGTCACATGTCTTCATAAAAGCATATTAGTTTTTGAACAGATTCGGCCAATAGAAATTGGATTGCAATACCTTGCAGCAGTACGCGTAGGATCGAAATGACCTCCATAAAGTGAGGAATGGCAATGCTGCATGATTGATTGTGTTTCTTCCACAGGGACACACCGCCTGATTATTCTATCAGCACACCTTTTGAACAATATTGGATCATCCCACAGATATGACTTAATATCATGGAGGAATTTCTTCTTTTGATGAAATGTCAAGTCAAGTGAAAATCTTCCAGACACTAAATAATTAACAAAATCAGCATACCATGGGATCTTTGTTGATACAGCTAGCAAGATCTGGTCAGGGAAAGTTTCTCGAATTTGACTGTCATCCACCACCTTTTCATTCTCTAACTGTGAGAGATGGTCTGCAACGACATTCTCACTACTTTTCTTATCCCGAATCTCTACATCAAATTCCTGTAGTAGCATTATCCATCGAAATAGGCGTGGCTTGGCATCCTTCTTTTCAAAGAGGTAACAGATTGCAGCATGGTCCGTGTAAATTATCACTTTGATGCCAACGAGGTAGAATCTGAATTTGTCACATATAAGCACTACTGCTAGCATTTCCTTCTCTATTGTGGTGTAATTTAGTTGAGCTCCATTAAGAATTTTGCTGGCATAGTGGATTGCCCGAAAAATCTTATCACGCCTTTGTCCCAAAATCGCCCCTACTGCGTAGTCACTGGCATCACACATAACTTCAAATGGCTGATCCCAATCTAGTGCTACCATCACTGGAGCAGTGATTAATTTTGCCTTTATAGTTTCAAAAGCCCGTAAGCAGTTTTCATCAAATACGAATGTTGTGTCCTTCTCCAAAAGATTACATAGGGGTTTTGCCACTTTTGAGAAGTCTTTGATAAATTTCCTGTAGAATCTAGCGTGCCCTAAGAAACTTCAATGCCTTTGACATTGGTGGGTGGTGGTAGCTTTGCAATTGAATCAATTTTTGCCCTATCCACTTCCAGTCCCCTCGCTGAAACATGGTGGCCTAGCACAACTCCTTATTGTACCATGAGTGACACTTTTTCCAGTTTAGAACTAAATTCTTTTCCTCACAGCGTTGCAGCACTAAGGAGAAATTGGGAAGGCAGTTATCAAAAAAAGTACCAAATACCAAGAAGTCGTCCATAAATACCTCCATGATGTCTTCAACCATGTCTGTAAAGATTGCCATCATGCATCTCTGAAAAGTGACCGGTGCATTGTATAACCCGAATGACATTCGTCTGTAGGCAAAAGTTTCATAGGGACAGGTGAAGGTTGTCTTTTCTTGATCTTCTGGTGCTATAACATCTGGTTGTAGCCCGAATATCCATCAAGAAAAAAATAGTAAGAGTAGCCAGCTAATCTATCCAACATTTGATCGATGAACGGAAGTGAAAAATGATCCTTTCTAGTTGCCTTGTTCAGTTTCCTGTAATCAATGCACACCCTCCAACCAGTTACTGTTCTTGTTGGAATTAGCTCATTGTTGTCGTTCTTAACTACTGTCATCCCTCCTTTCTTTGGTACTACCTGCACTGGGCTGACCCATTCACTATCTAAAATGGCAAAAATGATTCCTATCTTCAATAGCTTTAGTGTCTCCGCTCGAACCACTTCTTTAATTGCTGGGTTTAACCTCCTCTGATGTTCGATGGATGGCTTGTAAAAATCTTCCATGAGGATTTTAAGCATGCAAATTGTAGGACTTATCCCCTTGATGTCAGCTATCGACCATCCCAAAGCGGCCTTATGATCCCTCAACACTTACAATAATATGTCCTCTTCGTCTCTGTTGAGTGATGAAGAAATGATCACTGGAAATGCAGAATTGTCCCCCAGAAATGCATAGCGAAGGTGATCTGGTAATTGCTTCAGTTTAATCTTACTGTTTTCATTGCTTTCTTTGTCATCTGATTCCTCTGACTGCTGAATATCCTCACATTGTAACAGGTTGTCTACAACTGATGTAGACTCAAGAGCCAATATGCAATCAACCAAATCCTTGCTCCCTATGTACTTTCCAAAAGTGATAATATCATCCTTTGTTGCACTAAACATCATACATTGCACTAAAAGATCTTCAATACATAATTTCTCATCTCTCACAGCAGAATCAATGAAGTCAATCCTGTGGCAAGTGTCATGGTCATCTGAGTACTTCATTGCTTGGTAGATGTTGAACCTCACCTCTTCTTCATTCACTCTCAATGTCAAATGTCCTCCTTGTACATCAATTAATGCCCTTCCAATTGCTAAAAATGGCCTGCCTAAAATCAATGGGATTTTCTGATCTTCTTCCATATCCAATACCACAAAATCAGCTGGGAAGATGAATTTGTCGACATTTACCAACACGTCTTCAATAATCCCTCGTGGGTAGGTGAGGGACCTATCAGCTAGTTGTAGAGTCACCGTTCTTGGTTTGACTTCCCCAAGGCCTAACTTCCTGAATACTGATAATGGCATCAGGTTGATGCTTGCTCCGAGAGCACAGAGGGCTTTGTCAAAAGAAGAGCTTCCAATGGTGCGGGGAATAGTGAAACTGCCCGGATCTTTTCTCTTTTGAGGTAGTTTCTTCTGAAGTATAACACTGCATTCCTCTGTTAATTTCACTATTTCATATTCCTCCAATTTTCGCTTCTTTGACATCACCTCCTTCATAAACTCTGCGTAGTTTGGCATTTGTTCCAAAGCATCTGTAAAAGGAATGTTAATGTGAATTTTCTTAAAAATTTCTAAAAATTTAGCAAATTGATCGTCAAACTTTTTTTTTTAAACACTGTGAAAATGGAAGTGTTGTGTGAGAATTGGTAGGTTATCAGGGAAGGATATGGAATAAGGCCTGTGAGTCGTCTTTGTTCCTTTGGCCTGCTTTTCTTGCTCAACTACCACTTGTTCCTCTTCCTTATCAGGTGTGGGGTTGCTCCCTTTTGTGGATTCACTTTCTCCAACTTGTTTGCCATCCCTTAATACAATGGCCTTGCATTGCTCCCTTGGGTTGACTTCTGTATCACTTGGAAATTTTCCTTATTGTTGAGATTTCATTGAGGTAGCCAACTGACTAATCTGCACTTCAAGATTTTTCATTGTGGCTCCCATGTTGGACACATGCGTTTCAGTATTATCCAATTGTGATTCATCTTTGTTGAGGCGCGACCTTGTTTCAGAGATGAATGTCCCAAGTATACCTTCCAAGGATGGTTTCCCTTCAGAATTTTGAGTGTTAAATCCAGGGGGAGGTTGAAGTGTGTTTCTATTGTTGCCATATGATAAGTTCTCATGATTTCTCAGCCCTGGATGATAGTGATTAGCCTAGTAATTTCCTCTTTGATTATAGTTTCTGCTGTTTACATGTTGAGCCTGCTCGTTTGCAACCTCTATTTCATGGTGTGATGAAGAAGCACTCATGACTAAATCTGCCTTCTGTTGATTCCCTTGAGTAGTAAGCGTGACTATCTGATTCGTGAGTGATGTAACCTGAGCTGCTAGTGCTGTGATGGGATCCACCTCATGAAGTCCTGCTACTTTCTTTACGCTCAATCTCTCACTTGGCCATTGGCAATTGTTTGTGGCTATGTCATCCAATAAGGCATATGCATCATTTTCTGTTTTAGCCATCAAAATGCCTCCTGCAGCTGCATCTATCATTGTTCTTGTTTGCCCGTTTAACCCATAATAGAAGGTTTCGATCAGCACCCGTTTCTGAAAACCATGTTGAGGGCATCTTCTAAGCAAGTCTTTAAACATTTCCCAAGCTTCATAAAATGGCTCGAAATTGAATTGTCTGAATTGGCTGATCTCACTTCAAAGTTGAGCTGATTTAGAAGGTCGAAAGTATTTGGTGAGGAATTTTTGAGCCATATCCTCCCAAGTTGTGATTGAGCCATATGGTAGTGACTGAACCAGACCTTTGCTTTATCCCTCAAAGAAAAAGAGAACAGGTGAAGTCTAATTGCATCTTCAGTGACCCCATTCATTTTCACCATGTCGTAAAGTTCCAAAAAAGATCCAAGATGAGCATTTGAGTCTTCTGTTGCAACACCCCAAACTGATTTTGCTGCACCATATGTATCAACCCTGCCTTCAGTTCAAAATTATTTGCAGCAATTGCTGGGCGTGCGATGCCAGAATAGTTGTCATTGACAACTGACCTTATGTAGTCTCGAATAGCCCTTTGTTGGTTATCATCATTGGCTGCTCTAACATCCTGTTCTACCATTGCTTTCCATTCGTTTCTTTGTATGCCTCTGAGAATGTGAAATGTGCGTTCTGGTCCAGGATAGATAGGTAGTAGTTCTAGATTTCTCGCCCTTCACATAAACAGCTGAAAATAACCACAAGGAAGCTCTTAAAGATAGACACAAAAACAATATAACAAAAATAAAAATTACGATAGAAATAAAAATCTAAAGTAAAATGAACATCGATTGGTAATAATATCAATTGAATTCGAATGAATCAATCCTCGGCAATGGTACTAAAAACTTGCCACGTGTTTTATGTAACGTGATTTAACCGCAAGTGTATGGTGTCAAGTTTTGTAGTATGTTAAGAAATTGAAAAGTGTCGAACCCATAGGGATTGATATTCGATTTCCACTGGCTACTATAATTGTGTCTGCGTTTACTTTATCTAGACAATAGATGTTAAATTTGTTAGGAAAATGTTGTAATTGGCAATCTGTGACCAAAAGGACTAATTTGTCGAGTTTGTAAAGTTAAGGACCAATTTGTCAATGTCTAAAAGTTCAGGGACTTGTGTTGCAATTTTGCAATAATTAATGTATAGGTCTAGGGTAAAATTGGTTGCTTTGAAGATGAAAATGACGCAAGATTGGTGCTAGAGTTTCGCCCTGACCTCGCTCGAGCCTAAATAACAGAACCTGCGTCGCTGGAGTTTCGCCACCACTTCGCTCGAGCGAGAGTGCGTCGCTAGAGTTTCGCCGGCACTTCGCTCGAGCTACAGTGTCATCCGGCATTAGGTAATTTTCCTTTCTCGCGAATTTTAAACGGTCCATACTACCAAAAACGACCTACTATATAAACAAAAATTTCGCTTTTCATTAACAATCTTTGACAAAACACATGGCACAATATTTTTCTCTCTACCAAAGGATCAATTAAAAAACTCTTCACCATATGATTCATTGAAGAAAAAAAAACATCAAACATCTTTTCAAACAAAACACTTATAAAAAATCCTCATTACTTCCAGAAGATCAGTTGATTGAAGATCCGGGAAGGAGGTTGATTGAAGAACTGGAGTTCTTGTTGATTCACAGAAAATAGAAGAAATACAAGGTTGGGATTTTGGCGCAGATCTGCAGAATCCAGAAGAGCTTTGGTTGATACAGTAAGGAGGTCAGAGTGTTGTTAGATACAGTTATGTCTGGCATACTGTAAGTTGGAGTCTTCTATAGTGAATCCCTACTGATCTGTGCCCGGAGTTTTTACCCAGTTGGATTTTCTCCGTCAACAATTTTTGTGTTATTTATTGCTTTTTGTCAATTTCAATTCAACCGGCAATTCAACATAGGTAGTTAAATCATGTGAATGAATCTAGACAATGTGACTTGTTGCATAACTTAATTAAATTGTTAAATTCAGCATAAACACCTATTCATCCCCCCTCTAGGTGTTGGTTTCAAAATTGATGTTTGAATGCTAAACTAATGTCGATGAATTAAATAATGCAAGGAAAGTGAGGCAATTTCTAGAGATTAAATCAGAATTATGTAATGTCTAGGGAGTGATTTCACCGTATTATCGACATAATTCTCAACCCCTATAAATATTTCTACCAACTATTTCCCGAATTCATAGGTAAGAATCCTAAATTAATTCTATTTCCCTCTCTCAAGCGTCAAATAGAACATATCTCTATATTTTAACGCCAATATCTCTATTTCGAATTAATTATATAAAGATTTTTACTCTCAAAGATTCGCACTTTCTCTCGAAACCTACAAATCTAGGTTATATTGTTCTTAGATTACGCCTAAATTTTTCTCTCTCGAGCGTCAAATTTAGAACATCAATTCATTCAATTGGTGATTAGGCAACTGAAAGCATTAAGCAAGAACAATACAAATCAATTCTGAAAAAATAAATGGAAATACTATAAAGAAATTAAATTATGTCTCAAATAGGTTACATCAAACCCTAGATTTAAAAGTTTAGTTCATGACGGAAAAGAAAAACGCAATGAAATACAAACTAAAGTGCATGGAGAAGAGAAAGATAAGAAAAAACTCAATTTGCTGCTTGATCTCTACTCCAAATCGGGTCAATCTTCTCTCAATTGGTGCTTCCTTTGCCTCTTGCCTCTTCAGCCGTCTAACCCCCTCATCTAGGTCTTCATCTTGGTATTTATATTCTCTAGGAGTTCTCAATGGTTAGGGTACGATTTTTGGGTCGAGAAATAATTAAAAACTCGAATTTTATGCGTTTTGGGATCTGGCGTCGCGGCCCCCAAGTCTCGCGCCGTGGCGCTAGTGCTACTGCTCTTGTTTCCATGGCGCCAAGCCCACTGCTGGATCATTGGTTTCCACGGCGCCCATTTTCGGCACTGTGGTGCCCATGGTATTGCCATGCAACACTTCCATTCATTTTTCAAGCCTATTTTCCATTCCGATTTTCTTCACTACTTGCTTATTCATGCTCCATTTCAATGATCATCATTTTTGCTCATCAAACTCCAAATTGTGGTCTTTTCTCGAGAGTTGTCCAAACTGCAAAACAACACTAACACACACATCAAAACATTCAAAAGTGTCAAAGAACAAATCAAAAAACGTGATTTAGAAGTTTTAGTTAAATGAGTGAATTACACTCATCATTTTTATTTTTTATTTTTACTACCAAAAAGGTGATTTGGGTTGAGACTCTGGACCCCCCTAAATCCATCCATGCTTTCAAGAATATAGCAATAAACCCACAATAAGCAATCTTATCATGTTACATAGGTAGGAGAGTTCTCTAGGTCCGTGACTTTGGGCTCACGATAGTTTCAAGCTAAGCTTTTCACAAATTGGCCAAACAGGATAGGTTTGGCAAGACTGAACCTTTTCTTTGTTCAACTGAGTTCCAGATACTTCTTTCATAGGTAGGTTTTCTTCCTTCTTATCATAGTGTTGTGGTTGGTGGCTTATCTAAATTGACGGTTGATCGGAACTATAAAACTTCATTAAGGTTCCTGTGTCAAAACAGAGGATGTGGAAAAAACTATGGGTAGTTGGGTTAGAATCCGTGCGATGGTGCGAAAGTAGTTTCAAATATTCTTCGCATCACTTTTAACTACAATCTTTTTGAAGCTAAATGCAGAGACTGGAAGAAAGAATTAGTTTGTACGTACGGAAATTTTAATTACAGCGTATAAAAAATTTAAATCGTTGAAGACATACATGCATTTCTCAGAATCAAAGCTCATCATTTTCCTCTTCTTCTACATAAACTAAAGGCTCTCTTCTCTCCTTTTCCTTAACATAACCATATTTTCTAAGCACATATAACATGGCTCGACTGATATTACCGATAAACACAATGCCCATAAGTGATAGCCAACCCAAAACATAAACCTTAATCACATAATTGACAGTATCTGTAACATGATCAGGAGTCATATTAATGAAGGTGATGAAATATGTTATAGTTTGCGCCGTTATAGCAATCCATATTGTAACCATTTGTGTCCACATCCACCGTCGTCTTCTTAAAGGTAAGCCGCTGACTTGTAACAAAATTATGCTCAATGATGCCAAGAAAGCAATGGTGTTGAAAATCATGTATTGGTTGTATGCCGGAGGAAGAGTATATGCCATTATGGATTGTCCAGCCTCGTGTGGTTTCTGCGCTTTGGTGCCATTGGGAATTCCCTCGTAATCTCCTTGCCAAACGCCGCCTGGTGGAGATAATCCAGCTTGAAAGGCTACTGTTGCAAGTAGGGATGCTACTATCATTAGGGCGTTTCTTTTCCTCCCCAACCAGTCTGTGTGTTTGTGCTTTTTGGGCTGCTTTCTTGTAGTGTCATTTTCAGGAAGTACTGTATCGAATGGAAGAAATGGTGTGTGCTCGGTTCTTGAAACGCTTCTATGTAGAAGACATTGCTTGATTTCCAAGTCCCTCGTGTCTCCCGGGCTTTGCATCAAGACATCCAGTGCTGTCCAACCATTCGCATTTCTTGCCCCTATCTCTACTCTTGTATTGGCAAGCAGGTAATTGATAACCTGTAAATTCTTATGAATATCCGTAAACAAAGTATCTAAGCAAATGTTGCATTGTTCATTTAGCAGTAGGAATTTATCATCAAATCAAATGTACTGTGCACAGATGAATGGAATGGAATGCTATGTTGAATACCTCAATCTGTTTCTTGGCAACTGCTACATGTAAAATAGTATTGCCATCAGAATCCTTCCAATTCACAAACTGATCATCTTTCTTCATAAATGCCACCAAAACTTTCAGGGCTTCAAAGCGATTGTACTTCACGCAAAGATGCAAACAAGTCTCTCCACGCCCGGTCAACTCACGCGCTACCTCCGGCTTAGACCGCAAAAGTTCACCCAAAACAGCCACGCGGCCTTTAATCGCCGCCAGATGAAGCGGATTCCTCCCATCACGATCCAAAACAGAGCAAATATCAGGATTGATTAAAAGTAGATATTTCACTATACCCAAATTCCCCTTTGCTGATGCCAAGTGAAGAGCCGATGAACCGTGTGAATTCAACGAATTTGCCATTTGTAGGTTCCGATTGAGGAGTTCTTTGGTGAAATCAAGGTGCCCAAGCAGCACTGCTGTGTGCAGAGGATTATTGGGTATAGAAGAAAATTTTGAGGTAAGAATTTGGGGATTTTCTTGAATAAGTTGCAACAGAATTGGAATTTCTCCATTTATGGCAGCTTCGTGAAGCTTTTTCTCTATTGTTTTTTCATTCTCAAGCTGCTCTTCTTTCTCACCAGCAAGCAAGCTCCCAAATTTCATTTTCCTGGGATGTTCTACCTGTTATCCTCACAGATCCGCTACAAAAAAACGAGTATTTGTAAAATTATTGAACATTTAAATCCATAAAAATGTTCGTCAATTAAGAATTTCCTTTCTATGGACTACTGATTATTCTTGCTCTGCAATCTCCTCCTCTACTAATGGATGATTTTACTTTTCTATGCAGCCTCCAATCTAGACTGCTGACTTTTGAAAAGGATATAACATAATTTCTTTTTGTTCATAAGGTCAAGGCATGTAGAAACCACAGACTAATTCACTTCTAGAAAGTTGATTATCAGTTAAATTCTCTCTTAATGCAATTCACTTGTGCATTTTGCCTGTTGGTTCTTTACAACTGTTTGCTCCCCATTTATTTGCTTGTTCTGCACACCTTTTCATTGAATTTGTTTCAGAGTGTAGTAATTAGGGTTATGTTGCTTCTTGCTGTTGGGTACAAAAATTGTAGTTGCGAGATTTAAAACCCACTTCGGATTCAAGAACGCGGTTCCCCAGGTGTAAACAGAACGTAATGTCCCCAAGAACATCATCAATCCCTCAAAATAGTGATTGTCTTTTGGGGTTAAAACTCAACGAATCACTCAAAATCAAAACATTTAGACATGTGACACAATTGTGTGGCGTTGTGTTTCTTGGCTAGCCAATAGTCATTAAACCAAGCCGTAATGTAACCCAACACGTTTCTTTTAATAAATTAAAATATTTACTGCTTGCCTTATTTTCATTCTAAATAAAGACAATAATTTATTAGGAATAATTACAACTGTTTTAGTATTTGTTGGTAGATTTTAAAATAAGTGAGTTTTGGAGAGGTGTAATGAGTTTAAACGACTGAATAAAACAAATGCTAATTAACTATATCACCTTGAAGAATAAAAGGTTGAGAAACCAAAAGCTAAGTCCCAGTAGTGTAAATGACAGGAGTGAGGTTATCTCACGCTTTACTACAGCCGCAGTATGGGGGTTCGATTCTTGAGATATGAAATTGGACTCATTGTAGGCACAGTATACAGGCAACTCTTGTTTCTAGCCTGCTGGGACATATTCTGCGATTCACCTCTCTCACAAAGCTCTAGGGACGGGACGGTAAGGACCTTCAAAGTTGGAGTTCAACCATTTTTTTTTTTTTTTTGT